TTCCTTCTTCCCTCCCTCCCTCGCTTTCTTGCTTTCACTTTTCTCTTGGAGCAGATGACATGCAGGCTCCCCTGATCAAATATCAGATGCACCTGAGAACTCTGCATTGCAAAGTTACTCAAGCCATTTCTTTTTCATTCTGTCTCAAGTCCCCTAGAGTGGATATGTCCTATGTCTTCAGTGTATTACAAGTATTACTTAACTGGATTCAAGCAGGTCTGGAAGCAAATCCTATATGACCCTGAACAAGTTATTTAAGGCCTTGGAGTCTCAGTTTCCTCTCCTGTAAAATGGGCTCGTGGGTGAAGACTGCACAGGTTTGTTGCAAGAATCGGGCGACGCCTCACATGGAGGCCCGGCCCGCGGCCGTGTGAGAGAGCTCGCTCCTTCGCCTCCCTCCCGCCCCCTGGCGGCTACCACCCTGCAGTGAATGACGAAATGTCCACCTGGAGGTGATTTATTTTCTAAAGACTGAGGACACGCCAGGCTCAGAGTAGAGCTTAAGGATCGTGTCCCACTGGGAAGAACCCACTGCCTAGTGGGAGAGGGTCATGGTAGTGTAAAAATTTGATCATTCATAAAACTGGTTTGGAATGAAAACCCTATCTTAAAGGGATGACCAGAAAACTTAGATTTGTATATTTAGGCCTGAATAGATTTTCTCTTTTAAAAATCCACTGATTTATGCAAATTCTCTGGGCATATTAGGAGTCTCCTGTGAGGAGTCTGAGCTTTGTAAGAGGTTAGTTAGCTCTCCCAAAACATCATGGACAAGGGAGTACCTTTGAGGGAAGAGCTGGTATTGTCAATAAAGGTCACCAAAGGAAAATAAAATATTTTAAAAGGTTGGCTTTAGCTTAGAAGGTGACTGAGGATTTGATGTCAGTATTCCAGTTTTTCGAAGCTTTAGCTCACAGTAGTAAGCAGGCTGGAGCCTGAGGTCAGACCTCTGTCTTCCTTTTCATGTAATTTGCACGACCCCCTGAGTGGGCCTTTCTAAAGGGAAACAGGGACACAGCCCTGCGTGCGTGACTCAGCAGAGCCTTGAAGCCCTGTCAGGAAAACAGCAGCAAACTGCAGCCTCAAAGCCGAGAACCGACAGAAGAGGAGACTGAGGCCACGGAAGGTTAACGCCTTTCTCAGAGTGCAGCTAAGGAAGGGCTGGCCTTGCAGACTCCTTATCCCTCCGGGCTTGGGGCTCCTCCCCAGAACCCTCTAGTCCACAGGAGGAAAATCCAGTGTCTTCAATGGCAGGAGGCTGTGGTGGGAACGAGTACCCACTCTGAAGTCAGAAAGACATGAGTTTCAATCCTGTACCTACTTACACAGATTTGGGGAGATGACTCAACCTCTCTGAGCCGTTTCATCACCTGCAAAGTGGGAATAGTAATGCACCCCTGTGCTGGATTGGCGTGAGGGTCAGAGATAATATAGGTAAAGCATTTTGGTGGGTAATTCACTGGGCCCATAGTAGGTGCTCAGTAAATGGTAGCTTAGTTTTAGAATTGAACTGAAAATAGNCATTTTGGTGGGTAGTTCACTGGGCCCATAGTAGGTGCTCAGTAAATGGTAGCTTAGTTTTAGAATTGAACTGAAAATAGCTTCACGTGGAGGTAGCTGCAATCCAAGAATACTCTAGGTCAATTCTGGGGAAAAGGACCGCCAGATACCCACAGTCCGGTCAGCTGCACACACACAATAACAAAGTAACCCTGCCATTTGGGTAGCACATTGGAGTTTTATAAAGCATTTTCTCCTCATGGAACACCCACCTTACAAGTAAGGAGAAAGTTCTGAAAAAGCAAGGTCCCTGTGGCCAGTGAGCTGCTGAATAGCAACCAAGGTGGCTGAAGGCAGGTCTCCCAAACCTCTTGCCCCTCAGCCCAGGCCCTCCGGGTGCACCACGATGCCACCTGCATTGCCTTCGGGAGGACAGTGAGAGGTGTGGACACAGATGGCCCCGTGGAGAAGCAGGCCCAGCCCAGGGCTATGGGCAGGAGCTCTGCATCAGGCAGACCTGGGTTTGGGTCTCTTCGTGGTAGCTGAGTGATCTTGGAAAGTTACCTCTTCATGCCTCTGTTTCCTCATCTGTAAAATGAGGGTGTTTCTAACGCCCCCACTTTGCAGTGCTGTGGTGTTAGTTAGATGAGACGGTGTGTGCGGAAAGCATGCAGTAAGCACTCCATAAACGTTGGCCATTGCTATTCTGCATCAAAGACGAACGATACCAACCTAGTGTGAAGGGCTCTCTGTCAAATGGAGCCAACGAGCGATCGAGGGGAGGCTTCGTGCTTCTATCTATCGAAGGAGCAGGGACTGGAAGGGAAAATACTGAAGTCAATTGAAAGAAGACTGTGCTTGGCTGGGGGTGGGGCTCTGTGGGCCAGAGAAAGTAGTACTTACTCTTTGCTGTTTTGGGGGTTCTGCTTCTGCTGGGCTCTTCGTGGTTAGGCTGGGGTGTGGGGAGTGGCTGCTTGGAGAAAAACAAGTGTTAGGAAGTATTTACAACATATCAGCAGGTCCCGGTGTCTTCATCTCCCAAACACGTCTGAATCTGTTCACTTTTCTCTATTTCCATAGCTGTTAGAGTGCTCAGGTAATGCATGAAGAGAACACATTTCCAGCTACTGACTCCTGATCCTGAACTTCTTGGGGTCTCTCTGGGTGCTCGATTGGGCCCCCAGGACCTGGGCCTGTGAGCTTGGAGAGAGAGGAAAGGGAGTTGCTGCCTCTCTTTCTTCCTGGGTTCACTGGGTTCATCAGAAACCTTAGTCTCTGGGCGTTTGCCCGCGGAATTTCCGGCATTGGCCAGCAGGTGGCACACGTCTTTTTTGCAGGAGAGCAAAGGTGACTTGGCACTTGGAATACCAGTAGGTGCCATTGACTCAACTCAGTTCTCTTAGAGTGTATTTTACAGTTTCCACTTATTTCAAAAGTGGGAGACTTTTTATTATACAATTAGTTTACATTGTTGATGGTAAAAAAGAAAATACAAATAAGCATTATGACACGAATAAAAAATCACTATTATTTCCCCTCCCCCCAAAAACACAACACTCTGAGTACTTGGGTTTGCATTTTCCCAGCCTACATATAATCCTGTCTTACTGGTTAGAATTAGATAAACATGTTTATCATCTTGTTTTCTCTCTGGCAGAGGAAATCTTTGGAGGGGACAAAAAATTGCCAGGAAAGAGTGGGGAGGCCTACCGTGTGGCTCCGGCCGGCTGGTGGGGGAGGGAGGACAGCCATCGGTCTCTGGGGGGGCACGGGCGGCTGCTGTGGGGATTTCCCCGAGAGGGGCCGGTCTGGAAAACACAAGCACATTGAAATGAAAGGAGAAATGCTAAGCCGAGGCAAGTGTGGGCCATGCTCAGGGGTTTCCAGGAGCAGATCGTGCACCCAGTTCTATGCACCTCAGGGCTCCAGGGGCCCTGGATCCCACAGACTGCCCCCAGCACCAGCACCAGCCTCAGCGGTGGCAGGGACGTGTCATACCTGGGTTACAAGCGGTGGGGAATCAGACACACATACACACACGAGCATGGCCAGCTGCCTGGGCAGGGTTGAACTGGCACACACGAGCTAGCCCAGCTGCCTGGGCAGGGTTGAACTGGCACTCAGGGCTCCTGGAGATCCTGCTCTGCATTCTCCTTCCCCTCACCAATGCTCTGGGCTGTTCTGCCCCCTCCTACTTCCTCCTTTTACTCATCTCTTCCCTTAAAGGGAGGAGCTGGTTCAGCTCCTGCTACCAAATCACAGACTCTTTGGTTAACTAGGACTTGCCCTGGGCAGCAACTCACATTCTTCTGTTCATTACAGAAGTATCCCTGAGGCAGGTGTTCAGGCTGACTGTGGCCCCACCCCTTTGACAAGGAAAGGCCTGGCCAGGACTGCAAGTGCTGGCCTCCTTACATTTTGTGCCCTTGGGGTCTCTCTCGCCTCACCCTAGTCCCAGCCCCCGAGAGGTACTACCTGTCCATGGAGGATGGGGCTTAGAATGTAGGCAATCCAGGTCTAACCTCATGCCACTCCGCCCACACTGGCCACCTTTCAGCTCCTCTGATACCCCATTCTCCTGCCAACCTCAGGACCTTTGCACGGCCTTTCTACTGCTTAAAATGCTCTTCCTTTCCCTCATCTACTCTAGCCCCGCCCCTACTCATCCTTTAGCATTCAGCTTAAACATCACATCCTCAGGGAATCAAGCCCAGACTAGGCATACACCCCAGTCTCATCTCCCACACTTGTCTTCCTGAGTATATATCATGTTTTAATTCAACATAACTCATTCACTTGATGTTGTCTCACCCACTGGACTATGAATTATTTAGGGTGAGGACTGTCTTGTTCACTCTGTATGTTCATAATCGACACATCCGAGGTACTCAACAACTTAGTTATCTGTTTTTTCTCTGGGCTTCAGTTTCCCTAGATATAAAAAAGACTTGGTAGTTGGTGCCCTATCACACAGAGTAATTAAAAACACAAAATAAAATGTTGACACAGAGTTTATGAAAGGGCTTTAAAATCGCAAAGTGTTGTATAGCTAAAGGATTCGTGGTGTTAATTTTTTGTGATACTGATCATCAACTTTCAGGCTTACTCCTTGGCATCCTGTTAAGCGAGTGTGCACGTGCCTATTTTCTGTCACCACCCCTACTGAATGTAAGCCCCATGAGGAGCAGGCTAGTCTTATTTCCTGATAACCTCAACTTTCAGCATTTAGAATGATGCCCGGCTCTTAGTAGGAGATCAGTGATGTTTGTTGAATGAATGAATGAATGATAAATGGGCTGACAGAAGTAGAGAGACAATGAAAATTTTAAATACTGTTTAAAATGATTTGATGTTCTGCTCAAGCTCTACTCAATGTGGTTATGTTCATTCTGACAGTCTGTGGGTAGTTGTGACACATAACTATGAGTTGGTCAAAAATGGGAAGAAACAGGAAAGTCTTCCTGAGCGCCTAAGGAACGCACAAAGTGAGTTATTGCTGCCAAGTACCCTCAAGAGGCAGTTCAATGCTGGTATTGGCCATCTCAGGCAGTGGTTCATCTGCAATATTAGTAGTCCTCACAGCAAACCCATGCGGATGTATTATTATCCCATCTTGCAGCTGAGGAAACTGAGGCCCAGAGAGGTGGAGTCAGTTGCCCAAAGCTGGCGTCAGCACGTAAAGCCTGCTGCTATGTGAGCATCGGCCTCCCATGTATGGCTGGGGGC